ATGGTAATTGCTATTACTAATACTGAGACAATGGTATTATTAACAAGCTCTGAGAGATGGAGAGAGAAAACCTCCATCTTGCCAGGATATGCTTATTTCCTACTTGTTTGAGCTGCTGCTTTTTCCTAGCATTTAAATATTTAATTAGTAGAATATAATATTATTATAATTCAGATGCTGCTTATCCCAACCTGAGGCCTTGAAATAGCATTTTGAATTCCTAATATTTAAGTATTAAGTTGAAAGCATTATATTCAGAACACAATTTAAGGCAAATTGGGGATTATAAATGAAACCTGCTGCTCATCCCATGGCAAGTATCTTCTGGAAAAGTTACTAGTTATATGACACATGTATTACATTATCCACTAATGTAATTGGCATTTGCTTCCTTTTATTGGTTTTAGTCTGACCTTTCATAAAACTGGTCTCTTTTGTTTCCATTACTTTATTTGGAAGATAATGTGGTCTGAGGGCTAGATCTGGTGCCAAGAAATGCCATAGTTCTAATCTCATTGTGGTCCTTGAGAATTAGTAATTATTAATTTTAAGATCTGCACCTACAGAGTGAATCAAATTATAAAATAGCCCTAGTGATGTTCTGAGAAATAAGGCACAAATGTGTGATCACAAATGAATAAAATGTTTGTATTTATTTACTCTCGGCACCATACTTCCAAAATGGCAGCAGCATTTTAGAAAGGCAACTGCTCCAAAGAACTGTCTTGTCTTTCTGTCAGTAAAAGAAGCTCAAGAAAGGAAAAATCTTTTCTCATTAAGAAGAAATTTCACTCCAGAAGTGTATGGGAATAGACATGTATAATATGTGTGGTTTACCATATGCAATGAGAAGAGTCATAAGGTAGAGCAGGGCGTATGAGGATGCCTGACTCTGGTCTTCATTTAACTGAAGTATTAATTCTTTGAGTCGTTTGAGTGTTTTTAACTGTGGTGTCTTTTTTACTTTCAGTAAAGTTTAGGAGAAATTGAATGGTAAAAATGATGTTATTGACTTTGCAGGCAGTATAAAAACATAACTACGCATGTTGCTCTTCCAATATCACATCCCTACAATTGTTAGATGCACAGACATTACTGTTCACATGGAATACACATGAGGGTTTAGAAAAAAATAGCCATCAGTTATCTCAAATATACCAAAAATTAAAGTTTATTATCTCAATTCAAGATGCCTCTACCGGCAATTCAAAATAGTAATTGAAGAACTCATAAAACTGTTTCCTTTATATAGTTCTAAATATTTAGCATTTTATCAATTACCAGAAGAAAGAGAAAATATCTTAAAAGTTTTCAACTAATTAGTAAATTTACACTTTGTAGAATGAAATAGTTTAAAATGTAGTTAATATTATTTGTCTTTCTTTACAAAAGGCAGTACATTAATATACAAAATTACTGTTTTTAGGTTTTTATTTGTTAAAGTGAATTACACATTATTTTAAAAATTGAAGTGTTAAGCCTTCCCTCCCATCCTTTCTCCTTTTCTCGTACTGCAACTCAAATGACTTCAAGGACATGACCTAGCTTTGTAAAATAATGTTCTGCTGATACAGAAGACAATAATTCAAACATAGATTGAATTTCACTTTCTAATCTTAAGGGCTTTTTTAAAAATATAAATTTGTTTGGAAAGTAATAGTTTGGTGTTTACTGAACCTCAGACTTTGAGACGGAATCTTTGATCTCTTACTCACTCTCATAAATCTCTCAGCAGCAAACCATATTTCGGTAACATAAAACACCAGGATCACAGCTCTCTCCTTTACTGCTCGGAGAATTTTCTCTGTGCTAGACCTTTTTATAATAAAAGAGCATCTCATCTTTAACTCCACAATATCTTCCTGGAGTTAATTATCCTAATGCTTTAGTCTTCAGGATAAGCAGAAATGGAAAATAAAACAAAAATAAATTTAAAAAGGAAAGGATAAAGATTTTTAAGATGGTTTTAGTTTCATTTTGAAAATTCAATTCATACTTGAAAATAATTTCCTATTCATCTTTTTTGTGATTTTTTTGAGATTTTATGAAAGATTGATTAATTTTTTTCATTTCTTTCTCTGCCTTGAATCTAGGTTTTTTTTTATAAAGCTTATTAAATATGTTCGAAGACTATTGCAATATTTTCTGATAATCTTGGAGAAAAACAAAACAAAAAATCCTGTAAACCATTATATAAATAAAAACAAAATGATTTATATTACTTTCCTTTCTTGTCCTATTGTCCTTTGGGCAACTCTGCTCCTTTTCTCTCAAACCGAGCAAGTCTTGATTGCCATAGCTCCTTCACTCTCATTACAACTCTGTCTAGAAGCACTGGCATAGCATCCGTCCATCTGTTCACAGAGCAAATACAGCATCCCTCAGACAGGAACATAGTACAAGAATTATTTTTAATGTTTGTGTACTTTTGAGTCAAATAAATATAGAAAAGCAAATTATGATTTTGAGAAGAAATTGGAAAAATTTAAAAAGCTCTTTATTTCTTTCTTCTTTTTTTTTTTAAACTATGTGATTGCCTTCATGAGTGGTTAATTAAGTAATAACACTCGACTACGTGCTTGCGTCAGATTTGGGAAATTCTGATATGAGAATTTTTGAGGAATTTATAGCCATTAGTTAAGTACTTTTTCGAACTTTCATGGTTCAAAACAAAATAAAATTTAATTATTCAGATAATAACAATTTTCTTCTGTAAAGAAGGTTATTCTTCAAAATATTTCATTTCTGTGTTATAAGGAAATACATCTCTGTATATTGTGAACAAATGTTAGATTAATATATTAATTGAACATTGCATTCTAGGATTGTCTCACAAGTATAGGAACCCCCCCAAAAACCCCTAAAATAACAATAAAGGCACACATTTTAGAAGTGGTATTGTTCTAGTTCAGCATTTTTAAAATGCTATATTTTATGGTTTGTATCTTATCAATCGCCTTTTTTGCAATATAACAGTGTCAGTGTGCCCATTCCAGAAAAAAAAAAATCCTCTGAAAGATATCGTTCCCCAGGCCACTGTATATTTGGCCCTAACTTTAAAAAAAAGAACAAAATATGAGAGGAAGTACATAGGTTTTGCACAAACATACATGGGACAAATGAAACAAATCTGAGATGAAGCAAATTGTTTGCATGTGTGGCTTTATCTTTATAGCCAAAATGACTTACTCAGTCAAACATGTGAGCTGAACCTGGCTTCAGCTCTAGAAATTATCCCAACCTATGCCATGCTGCCCACGCAACCTCTCAACTCTGTGAGAACAGAGTTTTAACTCTGCACACTTACACATGGCAGGTAGTGTGCTAGGCTCTGTTCTAGACGCTGTAGGTGATAACAAGACAAGACATGCCCAGAGGGCTCACGGGACAGCAGGCAGAGTAGTTAAAAAACAAAATACAGTAAAGCATAATTTATGAAGTTCATAGGGATTCAAAGAGATTCTGCACCAATTTAAGGGGGTGAGGGGATAATAGAAAAGAGTTTCTTGGAGGAGTCTTTCAAGGATACAGAGGATTTCAAGTGGTGGAGATAGTGGGAGAAAAGTTGAGAGGCCAAGAAACCCAGGAAGAGGAGGTAGAAAGTAAGACTTTCATGGTAGGCTGGGGATAAGAAATAGGATTAGCAACGTCTTATCCTTTCATTTCTCAAGCAAGACTTGAGCCAATTAAACCATGAGCAAGATTGCTTTGCCATGGTAAGAACTACTTGTTAACAATTAAAAATGAAAATCTCTTTCATATGACTGCATCCAGCTCCTTAACTCAGTTTAATGGAGCATTCAATGTCAATATAATTTGGTGACATTACTTAGAACTGATTTTATTGCTTTACATATATTTAAAGCTGAACATTTTCTTTCTATATGTGCAATAATTTAAAGTGTAAACTAATTGGGAAAACAATATTTCAACAGGCCATTTTGTTTCATGCTTGAAATAAATGTGAGTGCTATCTGTACTCTGCCAAATGACTTGTTTATTCAAAGCGATAGATCTCTGGGAATTTTGTAGACCCCAAATAACAATTTTCTCATCAGCATTTTCATTTTTCTATTAGCATTTTTCATGTTATCTAGGAATCAAAACTAATTTATAAATAATAATACTTCATAGGAATAGTATTTCATGTGTGTGATTATCCTGGTCTGAAAGGTATTGGGATTATATCTGAACCTATGTCTATTTTGTTTACTCTGGAGGAGTGAATTTTGTCAAATTTTTTGATTTAATTTTTTCTACAGATTTATAGAGTAATATTATTATTCTTATTATGAGAAAACTGGTGATCCTCAATGTAAAATAATTTACCCAAAAGCTAGTAAATGGCCTGGCCATTATTCAAATACAGGCCTATTAAATTCCAAACCATATATTCTTTCCACTATATTACAATATCTTTCTGAAAGAAAAGAAAGAATATGAGATCCTTCATGTCAAATTGTAGTGCTTAGATATAAATACGTAAAATTATTTCTCAGATTCCTTTGTTATTGGTGTTTTATTTATTCCTTTTAGGTTGGACATAACAGTGAAATTTTAAGGCCTCAAACTTATATTGCCTATTTCATAAACAAAAGAAAGCAGTTTATGGAAATTCACTCATATCATCTCTATCCTGAAATTGATAAGGCACTAATTATTTCACATCAGTGAGGATAAAAACTCAGCAGTGTTTGGGATTGGAACATCCAACACTGTTTCCCAAATCTGAAATTTATTTTGCCAAGAAATTTTTCCCATAATTTAAAAACCATGTCTTGTGTAAAAGATAATAGGGAAATTTAATCCAAATATTTCTGATTCATTTATACTCAGGCTCATTTTTTTGGGGTGGGCGGTAAGGGCAGTTATGAATAAAATTATTTTCAAGAACTGAATAAAGTGTTTTGACTTTTTTCACAAATACAATTTTTAATGGAGTGGAGTGTAAATTAATTAAATATCAAAGCATTGAGGGTTAATTTAAAACCTAGGAACTGGCCACCTCCCTCCACACGTGGGGTCATCACTGCTGCCAGCCGCTTGTCCCTGGACCGGGCTCCTGCGGCCTTGGCTCCCGACCAGCTCACCCTATTTAGTGTCTCTGACAAAATCGGGCCTTGTGGAATTTTCAAGAAAACTAACTTCTCTTGGTTCGAATCTAATCACTTCCAGAGGGACTGCAAAAGCTCTCAGGGATGCTGGGCTAGCCATCAGAGATGTCTCTGAGCCGAGGGAATTTCCTGAAATGTTGGGGGGATGTATGAAATCTTTGCATCCTGCAGTTCATGCAGGAATCCTAGATCCTAACATTCCAGAAGATAATGCTGCCATGGCCAGACTTGATTTCAATCTTATAAGAGTTGTGCTTGTAATCTGCGTCCCTTTGTGAAGCAGTGGCTTCTCCAAATGTAACTGTCAAGGAAGCTGTTGAGCAAATTGATATTGGCGGAGTAACCTTAGTGAGAGCCGCAGCCAAAAACCATGTTCGAGCGACAGTGGTATGTGAACCAGAGGACTATGCAGCAGTGTCCACAGATGCTGAGCTCCGAGAGTAAAGATGCCTCCTGGGAGACTAGACACCAGTTAGCCTTGAAGGTATTCACTCATATGGCACAATATGATGAAGCAATTCCGGATTACTTCAGGAAACAGTACAGCAAAGGGATATCTCAGATGCCCTTGTGGTATGAAATGAACCCTCATCAGACTCGTGTTCGGCTGTACACAATGAAGCCCAAGCTTCCCATCACAGTTCTAAATGGAGCTCCTAGATTTCTAAACTTGTATGATGCTTTGAATGCCTGGCAGCTGGTGAAGGAACTCAAAAGAGACATTATAGGCACTCCAGCTGCTGCCTGTTTCAAACATGTCAGCCCCGCAGGTGCTGCTCAGCGAAGATGAGGTCAAGGTCTACAAGGTCTCTGATCTCCATAAAACCCTTACTCCCATATCAACGGCATATGCAAGAGCAAGAGGGGCTGATAAGACGTCTTCATTTGGTGATTTTGTTGCATTATCTGATGTTTGTGATGTACCGACTCTGAAAATTATATCCAGAGAAGTATGGTATTATTGCCCTGGGATATGAAGAAGCCTTGAAAATACTTTCTAGAAAGAAAAATGGAAACTACTGTGTTCTCCAGTTTTATAAACCAGATGAAAATGAAATTCAAAAACTCTTCAGTCTTTGTTTAGGCCAGAAGAGAAATAATGGTATCATCAACAGGTCGTTATTTAGCAATGTCGTTACCAAGAATAAAGATTTGCCGCAGTCTGCCCTCAGGGACCTCATCGCGGCCACCATTGCTGTCCAGTACACTCAGTCAAACTCTGAGTGCTACTCTAAGAACGGGCAGATTATTAGCATTGGAGCAGGACAACAGTCTCAGATACACTGCACATGCCTTGCAGGGGATAAGGCAAGCTCTTGGTGGCTTAGACACCATCCACAAGAGCTTGCAATGAAGTTTCAAACAGGAGCAAAGAGAGCAGAAATCTCCAATGCCATCGACCAATATATGATTGCAACAATCAGCAAGTATGAAGATTTGATAACGTGGAAGGCACTGTTTGAGGAGGTCCCTGAATTATGAACTGAGGCAGAGAAGAAGGAGTGGGTTGGCAAACTAAGTGAAGTTTCTGTCAGCTCTGATGCATCTTTCATTTCAGTGATAGTGTAGATAGAGCTTAAAGGAGTGGTGTGGCATACACTGCTGCTAGCTCTGGATCTGCTGCTGACAAAGGTGTGACCGAGGTTCGTGATGAACCGGGAATAATCCTAGCTCACATGAATCTTCACTCTCCCACCACCGATTTTTATCACACGTTATTTTATGGTCTGCAGATGTGCAGGTGAATTCATGCGTGGAATTTTGAAAATCACTTGTTTTAAAAAATAAGACATTAAATCTTAATAATTGGATCCATAAAAAAAATCCAGGAACTATAGATAACACAAGTTACATAGAATAAGGAGCAAAGGGAGGGGAAAATGTTGGAATGAAGAGATAGAGAAAGGAAGGGAAAAGGAGGGAAGAGAGAAAGGGAAGGAAGTAGAGCAAAGAAAGGTAATTATCTGATATTTTCATATTGCTTTAAAATTTCAAATGTTTTTTCACACGTATTACCTCATATTTCCCATACTTTTCAGGTATACTACTTCTCATTTCTCACAACTTTGAATTCAATGTCATAATTTTTACTTTCAGCTAAATAGATTCAGATTGTTTATGTGAAGTGCTTAAGGTCACACAGGTAGTTGTAAGAGAGCCACTTTAAAATCTTTCTGAAACAATTTGGGCTATGAATAGTAGTGTAGCTGTGATTTTAATCATATCTTCCTATGCGAAGTATAGAGCTTTACCTCTTGCCAGTGATTCTCAACTTGAATATATATCTGATTAACCTGGAAGTCTTGTTAAAACACACATTGCTGGGTCCCATCCCCAGAGCTTCTGACTCAGGAGGTCCAGGATGAGGCCCAAGAACATGCTTCTCTCTCAAGTCCCAGGAGAGACTGATGCTGCTGGTCTGGGGCCACTTTGGAACTGCCAATTTAGCCAGCCTTCTGGAGGTTTGGCCTCTGTGTAGGAGGTCTGTATCAGCCACTACTGCTCTCATCATATGTGAGCTAGGACTAGAAATTTGGAATGAAATCTAATTTTTTTCCTTTCTCATTTTTTCTAACTTTTTCTATACCAGGAAGAGTTCCTTTTACAATTGGCCTGGGTGGCACAAGCTAGAACATTCACAATCCAACAACCAACATGCACTGCCCACCTCCAATTCCCTATTCTATGGGGCCTTCCTGACTTCCAGAGTCACCCGAGCAGTGTCATTTCAAGGATTCAAATGACTACCTCCCTTGCCTTTCAGTCAAATTGCCCAAAATTCAAATTTAGATTTTTTTTTTTTCCCGCACATTAAGGAGGTTTCATCTCACATTTTCCTTGCCCAATTGCAAAAAGCTGGGGAAATTATTGGCTTTTCAGTCTAAAGAGTAGGATAGCCCACAGGTATGGAAGAGAGTCTGGGTAACATTCCATGGGAGGAAAATGCAATTCCAGAGCCCAGGGTAGGAAAGGGGCCGGAGGGAGTAGACAGCCAGGAAAAAATGCCAACTGGGTTTGGGAGATGTGAGAGGAAGATCCTGAGAAGACTGAGGGAAGGTACAAAGCAAAGCACAGAGGAGACTCTCCTGCTCCAGTGGCCATGCTCACCCTGACAGGCCTTCCACGTTTGCACCCCACCCTCCTAACCAGACAGTGGGTGAGACTGGTGAATGATCAACCCTAAATGGTCAGACTGGTTTTTTCAGAGCAAGAGAAAACACTCCAGAAAAGAGTTTAGCTAATGTTCCCAGGACATCATCAGAAAAATATGATCTATAGGAAATGAAAGTATTGATAATGTTAGACAACTGATAATGCTAAAACTATTTGCATAAAAAATGATAAGACTTTGGCACCATAAGACTATCTCTCTGAGTTGTGAGGCTGTTCAAGAAGTCCTGCAAGAAAAGAGGGTCAGTTTTAACTTTTGAAAACCTCCTATACTCTTCTCTTAGTTTGTGGCTTTAAATAGCAAAAGCTCAAGTCCCTCCTGAGTCAGGGTGATGTGAGGAAGCTGTGACTATGAGTCCCACTGTCATTTATTTTTCTTCAGTATCTCTCTGTGAAGAAATTTTTGGATGAATGACAGGAAGCATTATGAGTTGTGCACCCTCAAAAGATATTTCACACACTCCTTTTTGGACGTTTTGTTATTTTTCTTCAAGTCTATATCCTTTCCATCTTGTGCAGGAAAGATCATTAAGCATTTCAAAAACATAAATATTTCACCTTCAAAACTTTTGAGACTTCAGTGGTAATATTGTTATTATAGAATATAAATCTAAAATAAAATTAATTTTTCTGCCCAGTACCTATCAGATGCAATTTAGGGGAAGTTCTTTTATATTTTTACCCTACCGGCATAATGAGGTAGAAAAGATAATTTATTCTTTTTCTTATGTATTGCCCCCAAGTCACCTAGGTCACAAATCACAGAAAGGCAATGTGGTTTCATTCTTCTGGGGAGTCAGCAGATATATCCTCAAAGTACTTTTGTCAAATGCATTAAAGTAATCAGGGTGAATCCATCTAAAATGTTATTATTATCATTATGTGTTGTCAATGTTTTTTATGGATTATAACTCATTTTTATAAGTAATATGGCATTTGGTCTTTGTAAAAATTCTGTAAAGTTATCCTATTTTGTGGATCAGAAAACTGAGGTTCAGGAACTTGAAGGGACTTAGTTCAATCAACTGGTCAGGAAGTGATGGCAGAGGATTTGAAGGTGCTCCAGGTTTGGGCTTTTGCACTAAACTACAAGTCTTGTCTTTTAACAGAGCACAGTTCAAGATGTTTAGCTCTTCAGACACAGGACAGAGAGGAGGGGAATTCACCCTGAGAAGCATAGCTCTGAGTTTTAGAATCTTCCCCCACTTCCTCCTCCTCCTCCTCATCCTTTTCCTGACCAAGCCTAAATTGAGCTGCTGATTAAGGACAAATTCCTTCAGGCACAGTGCTACAAGGACATTACAAAGGTTTAGGGTTCTCTCTTCTCCACCTAGCTAAATGCGAATCATGCCAATTCCTCAATTCCTCCTTCAGGCAAGGCTTCCACTGGGGAGACAGAGATGGGGCAATTTATCAGTAACAGTCAAAAAAGCCAGTTCTGGTTCCTTCCAGGTACAGATGCAGGGGCCTAGACGTTGTTACCAATACTTCATAAAAGGTTCTGTGCTCTAAATAAAAAGTTTAAATATTTAAGACCAGATCCAATCCCATAAAAATGTGTGTTATAGGCTGTCATGACATTTCGTCTCCTTCACCACATGGTGGCCAAGAAAATTAAACTCTCTGCCACTTGCATCCTTGACCCTCCAACATCTCAGGGGTGCAGCAGCCAATGTAGCATGCTGGCGGCAAGGGAGGCAACAGAAGGGTGGGACTGCCCCATCAAGATAGCCACGACAACCCAAAAGGGAGATTTTTTCATATTTAGGCTGGATATATGGATTAACTATCAGCCAAAGATTTTTGTCTTTAAATAGAACATTTTGTCTCTTTTATCTTTGTTAATAAAAACCTTAGATTTAGATTCTTTCTGATTTCACTATTCTCTTTAAGTTTTACTTTGAATGAAATCTTGGATAGACTGAATAAAATCCTAGTTTATCTCTCATCATTTCTTCCCCCCACCCCTGTCTCTGAGCCTGTCTGATTTTGCTGTTTAGGGAAGATAAGGTATTAACCTAATGCAGGGATTTTCTAGGAAAAACCTGCGTGCATTATTTCCGCTTTACTCCCATTTAGAAGCTTTGTGCTTTTTTTCAGTAATAAACGGAGGGGAAAGCACATTGTAAAACACACTATTCAGAAACAGTTTAGGCTCATGATAGGACAGTAGTCTGCAGCAAATAGCAATATCAAACAACGAATTTCCAAGGAGCGTGGGGTTGCGCGTGAAAAGTAAACCAAAAGCCATTTGAGAGTAGAACCGAGTCTTATACCCTTGTTTTAATCTCCTTCTGTTCTTAAATAGCTTCTTATCTATAAAAAATATGCAATAATATTTATATTTGCTTCTCTATAAGTTTTTTTTTTCCCTCCAGCTGACAATATGGCTCCCCTTACCAAGGCCAGTGTATATGTTCATAAGTGAAAAATTAAAACAACAAGCAGCCTGAGGCTAAAATAACAAGTAGACCATGTTGCCCTGGGTACAATCCCAAGGCTGCCCTAGCTCTGTGGTGACACCTTGGTGGTCAATCAGTATTTGCCAAGAGGAAATAAGGATGCTAATGTAATTTATAGGCCATGCACTGGAATTAGAATCAATTCCAAACATGTGCAGATTGTCATTCATGCTGAGTATCCTTGCTGAGTGTGGATGGTAAGAGAAATTTAAGTGTTATTAGAGGGAATCCAGTCCTCAGCTGGCCAAATAATGACAAGATTGCTTTGGGAAATGAAAAACTAAGAGGCAGTCGGGATTCCTGGAAAACCAGAAAAAGCCATGGGATAAACATCCTGGATTTCCCCGTAGATGAGACCTCTGAAGTTTCCAAAGAAAGCTGAGAGTTCAACCAATACCATTAAACAAGGTGATGAAATAAGGACACTATTAAGATTTAGGAAGTCACATAGTGGCTTACTTGCCTAGTTGGACTTATTCATATTTAACATGGAGAATTTATAGAGAGATTTCTGATTTTGAGAAATTCTTAATAATTTTTCTGGGAAAACACCAAAATTCTAGAGCTTGGAGACAGGTTTTCTTGCTCCCTGTCTCCCTGAAAACTATCCTTTTTATCAAAAAGTTAAAGTTTTGGTTTGGAAAAGAAAAATGGCATTGTACTTTTAGGCAGCTGGCTCAATTAGGACCTAGATGCCACAGAGTAGCCAGGTGGATTTCTGTTAATAATATTCTTCCTCCCTGGAATCCTATAAGCTATTACAACTGTGTTACATTATGATTTTGTATGTATTTATGTCTAGCTGTGCTACTTCACTACCTGAATATCTTTTCCTTAAGAGCAGAGATTGTGCCTTACTCATTTTATACCCCTTAAGCACTTACCACTAGTTTCTAGCAAGTATTTGATAAATATTCACACGTTATCTTAGTCCAAATTCCCCAGGAAAATAACTGGGGCAAAATATCATTCATTAATGCTTCTTGGGGAGTGCATTCCCAGGGAAGCAGGAATGCAGGAAAAGAGGAGAGGAAGAAAAGGAGAGAGAACAAATACAAAGGATGCGTGACCTAGTTGGCCACTGCTTGATGTCAAACAGCACTAATTCTTTG